CAAAAATGAGGTCCACCTCTTCTTCTTATCATAGTTGCCGTAGTTCTATAAGAATGGAAATGAGAAGCTGTGCAAAAGAAGGGCACTAGTCCTAGTCCTTAGTGGTGATTACCTTGTAGATTGGAGATGTCTTTTAGTGACTGAAAATTTAGTCCGAAAAATTGGTCAAAGTGTCGCAGGACTTTTCGAACAACCTAATAGTGTGGACCATCTGCCCTCTCTGAACATATTACCCATCCGACAATTCAAAGTTTTAGCGAGGAACTCGTTCATGGGAGATTTCGACCCCCTGAACACGAATATCACATCCTTCGACGAAAAAACGCTCGTCTGGCCAAATTGCGATTCTGGGCAAAACTTTGAATTGTCGGATGGGTAATATGTTCAGAGAGGGCAGATAGTGACCAAATCCATACTAGATCGAGTACGTCATATACTTGATCTACTTGATCTACTTGCTCTGCTGGGCCGTAAACTCGGAAGAATTTCGAAAATTAGAGTAAAAGCTCTTATAGGAGACGAAGCAAAAGTTTTCGCGCCAACGGGATGCAAACCCACGACAATTGGCTTTGAAGCGAGAATGTTACCACTGCGCCACGTTGCTCTGCACAGTGGTCGATCAGCAGCGCTTACGAGCCAGAACCAAATTTTGACCACCCAGATCTCGTCTGGGAGGTCCCCGTAGCACTTTTAATCTGCATATTCGTAATCAGCATTCGAGGCTCTATCGATGTACCTAGGTCTCCATTCAAAGTTCCATGGGAAGTTCAAACCATTCCCTTGTAAGTTGTTTTTGCTTTGTTTAGATGACTACTTGACCCTTTTTGATTCAATGTTGAATAAATATGTCAGAAAGAACGTATAAAGTGGTTGAAAACGCAATTTTGTGACTAGTTCCATGTTTTTTCTTAGCTTGCGGCTAATTGATACCAGATTCGCCTAGAAGGACAAAAACTCCGTCATCCACATTATCGAATGTCGTTGCATGGGCCGAATCGCTATCGAATACCACAAAATCTCCATGTCGTCTTATAGCGTGAACCACTTCTCTTCTCCAACTCACGAAATCTCCCATTTTTTTGATCGATTTTCTATCTGCTATAAAAC